GTGGCTGGAGGTTGGGATGGTGGTGAGTGCGCGGGGCGCTGGTGTGGATGGAGGTTGGGACGGTGGTGAGTGCGCGCGGCGCTGGTGTGGCTGGGGGCTGGGACGGTGGTGAGTGCGCGCGGCGCTGGTGTGGCTGGAGGTTGGGACGGTGGTGAGTGCGCGGCGTGGCTGAGAGTGTGCCTGTGTTTGCAGACTGACCCCCGAAGACGGCGTGGAGGATGCGGCCGCCGACTACCTGGTGGGACAGGTCGCCGACAGCCTGCGGGGCGCCCAGCACCCTCCTGGAGGCGGGACGGGGCGGCTGGCCGCTCTCTTCTGCACCGCGGAGTCCCGGGCTCCGCCAGTGTTTGTGCCTGTGCCCCGGGTGAGTCGCCGGGCTGCGTCCTGACTGTCCCTCAGAGCTGGGTTTGGGCGGTAACTCGACTGACAGCAATGGGTGTCTGGCCCTTGAGCTGGGCGAGCGCTTCGCCCTCAGCCCTGTTGATTGACAGGGTCTCCTGTAGCCCCTGTAGGTCTCAGATTTTGTTATGCACCGGAGAGTGATCCTGAACTCGTGAGCCTCCTCCAGCCTCTAGAGTGCTGAGATCACAGGGTTGCCCCATCATATCTGACTTTACTTTTTATTTCGAGACAGGGTCTCACTAGTTGCCCAGGCTGACCTCCAGCACACACGGTAGCCCACATGCTATACTCCTGCCTCAGCTTTCCACTGAATAGCTGGTGTTACAGGCTTGTGTGACCAAGCCCATCAAAGTTGGTTTTGTGACTAATGTCGGCAGTACTCTGCTTCTCTCTATAACCAGCGAGAGAGAAGTGTCAGCGTCGAAAGACGTCACAGCGTTAGAGACAGGCTCTTTACTCTGTGGTCCTAGTTGGCCTGGCACAGCTCCTTCCCGCTCTACAGCCTGAACGCTGGAATCTCAGGCGTGTCCCACAGCACACAGGCTTAGGGTCAGAAGTTTTCAAAGTTGGAGGTATTGAGTATGACTTCAAAATTTCAAAAGGAAACACCAAAAAAAAGAAAACCCGATGCTGAAGAAGAAAGTACGCCTCATATTAAAAAGCCAGTTTCGCAAGAACGTGCCAACAAAGTAAAAGTGAAGAAACTCTCTGATGCAGACAAGAGGCTGGCAAACAGGTTGGTGAAATTCTCCTTTTTGCTGTGTTAAATACATCACGATTTTTTTCATGTCTTTTTAATTGTTCTCTCACTGCATAGTTCTGAAATTAAAAAGATACATTATCTAAAGTCTCATAGTATACAGAATTAAAAGTGTAGGAAAATCATTTATCCAAAGTGAGCAGTTACTGCTGAATCAGCCTTGTGGGTCTTCACTTCCATTGTCCAGCCATGTTAGGTCTCACTCCCATCACTGTGCCCTGCAGGTTGGAAGCAGCCCCTCGGTTTATGCCATCAGCGTTTTAGCATCTCTGTCAACATGTATTCACACATCAGTCTATCACATATGAATTTGGTTTCCCTAGAAACCAGATTTTCCTCATTAACTTAAACGTTTTTATAGACTATTTGAGTTAGTATCCAAATAGCTACACGATTACTGCTTTTCCGGTTACCATTCCTCACTCATTTTTGGGAGGTGGGGTAGGGCAGCGGTTTCTTACGTCCCAGGTGGGCCTTGAACTCACTATTTAACCTAAGCTGTACTTGAGCTTCTGACCCTCCTACTGCCATTTCCCAGGTTCTGGATTACAGCCACTTGACACAAAGGCTTGGCTCTTAATTCCTTCCCACTCCTTCAACCCTATATTCTTTTCCCATCCCCCCCCCCCCCCCCCTTTTTTTTTATGATTGTCTTATGTATGTGTGTCGGTTCACCCATGCCATGGTGGCATTTGGAAGTCAGAGACCAAAGCACAGGAGTCCACTCTCTGTCTTCCTATCTGGGTCACCAGCCAAGTGAAAGATGCCTTTACCTGCCTAGCCTTTGCACTAATCCCCCACCTACCCTTACAAGTATGTTAGTAGTACTTTTATAAATGTGTCAGTTTCTCTCTTACCCAAGCTAGCACCCAAATAGTTGAGACTGGACCATTATATATTTGTTTAATAAGTGTTATGGCACAGTGCTGGATTAGTAATAGATTGCTCTATTCTAATCCTCTAAGCTAATGTGGCTCCTTTGCCAAAATCCCTGAGATAATTGTGTTTTATGGCTTTCTCTGCCCAGCTGTTCTCTCCTGATGTCTTCTGTGGCTCAATTCCCTACTTCCTCCCTTTCTCTTTTTCTACCCTGGCTGGCAGGAAGTCCAGTGCTAGTCTCTCTCCTGCTCATTGATTACATATTAAGCTGCTTTATTGACATAACAGGGAATAATTGGGGAGCAGTGTTTAGACGGGGCATTCTCAGAACAAGGATTGCAGCCAGAAAAGGGGGGCACAGAAATCAGCATTTGAATTTTACACAGAACGCAATAACATTGTGTCTGCACACATATTCTGAGGACCCCTTGCTGCTAACACTTGGTAGCTACTGCCTCAGTGTTAGCTTCCCAGTGACCTTTTCATTCTCTTCTTTTCTCTCTGAATTCAGATGAACACCTCTCTTTAGATTGCTCTGAGGAAACTGTTCTTGTCAGCTATCTTGCAGTTGTTTTTTGTGGGCTCTGCCATGTGTGTCTGCCTTGACCTCTAGACCTGGTCAGTCTTCTGCCTGGCAGCATCTGTACCTGCTTATTCTTGTTCACCGTAAGCTAATGCTTCAGGAGGCTGGCGTTGTAGCTCTGTTGGAGTGCTTGCCTAAGCCGAGTGATGACGCACACCCGTGGTCCCAGCACTTGGGAGGTGGAAGCACTACGAGCAGAATTAAGAGTTTTCTTACCCTGTATAGTGAGTTGGAAGCCGCTGAGCCTGCATGAGACCCTTCCATAAAACAAAAGCCAAAAAGCCAAACAGGAATGCTTCAAACTGAAGTCCTCCTGCATACTTCTCTTTTCGTTAGTTGCCTCAGCTAGTGGCTTGGGAGTTATCTTGTGATCTCCCCTCACCATTCATTGCTCCTCAGTTGTTAAAGCCTGAAGCTGCTGCCTTTTTTTTTTTCCTCATTCTTCTTTCTCTTTTTTTAAATGGAAAGACAAAGTCTTACTATGCTTTGCGAACAGTCCATTATTCCTGAGCTTCAGATCCTCTACCATCATGTCTCAAGTCACTGAGTCACTGTTTTTCAGTTCTCTTTTGTGTCTCCTTTCTATCTCCATCCTTGCTGTAGCTGGCATTTTCTTGTGTTGTGACAATATCTTTCTTGTTCACACTTATACACCTTCTTTCCTTACTGTTTTCTCCATTGCATGATTTCTTGGGCCGGCCTGTCTGTGTGTCTGTCTGCCTGGCTGCTCGCCTGCCTCCCTCCCTTTCTGTGGACATTGAGCAAACAAAAACACATGCTAGGCGAAGTGCTTTCCTCAGCTCTGCCCCGGCTCACATTAAGTTTTGAAGGGCGGCCTTTCTCTGGGGTCTAGGCTCCGGTGCCAGGTATGTCATTCACTCAAGTGATCTTTTTAGGTCTTAGTCTTTAAAATATTTAAACATTTTAGAATTTAGGTAGGTTCCTAGCATCCAAAGGAGAAAGTCAAGTGCTTTTGTGTAACAAGTTCTTCTCAAGCGGACCCCACCATCCCTTATTTTTCTTGCCACATTGTTCACATCGAAGTGAACAAAACATTACCCTCGAGCTGGAGTTTTTGACTTGATGGAAGAGCAATAGTAGCTGTATTTATTAAACACTATGCCAAGCACTTTTTTTTTTTTTTTTTTGAGAAGCCTTTCTGGGTTTTGTGTTTCTTTTACAGTACGCTGTTTTAGCTGTTGCCACATGATCGTTTTCTGCCACTTTAGTGCACTGCTGAAAGGCTTGAAGGAGGACAGTGGGAAGCAGGAGTCCTGGCATAGGGGCTGGGTGCAGTGGTGCTCACCAGAATCCCAGCATTGGGAGGCTGAGGCAGGCAGATCTCTGTGAGTTCAAGGCCTGCCTGGTGTACAATGTGTGTCCAGGACAGCCAAGGCTACACGGAGAAACCCTGTCTCAAATAACCAAACAAAAAGGTCCCTGTCTAGTTCTCTTGTCAGTGTGGCGTCAGACCTTACTGTCCCTGCGCATCAGCACCAGCTGCTGTATTTACCATTTCAGAGCTTACTGAAGGGGTGGCATGTGCACAAGACACCCTCACCACCAAGTTCTCAGCCCATAGTAGGTTTACTTCCCCAGAGGGACAAAGGGCAGGGAATACGACAAAGACATTTCAGGATAACAGGGAGAAGGGGGAAGGAGGGATATTTAGCCCTGGGGAGGGGGTTAGGGAGTGGGAGTGGGGTTTAGGACTACCACAACAAAGAACTACCTCTAGATAAAGAGACAGAGTGGCCCATTAGCAAATGGTGTGAAAACTGTTAGGATGGGTGTTTAGTTTTGATTGGGCATGCTAATTAGCACAGCCAAAGGGAGCTTTTGATTGCTGGACCTCAGCCTCAGAAGAAAGCAGTGGTCAAATAAGGGAACAGACATTGGTCGAATACAGTCTAACGAGTTTCAGCAAAACAAAGGAGATGGGGGAAGCATGCTCCTGTCAGAGCCACTTACTGCTGGCCAGAGTCCCTTTACTTGAGTTAGCAGTCCTTCAACTAGACAGAACTCTTAGGAGCAGGAGCGCTGGTTTTCCCAGTTGACCAGATCCTGTATCACAGTGTTTGGTAGCATATAAACCTCTCTGTATACGCAGAGAATGATGTGTCTAGGACGTAGGGCAGAAAATGGGAACAATTGCCTTGAGACTTACATGAGAACCTTGAGACTTTTCTTTAGAACTTTTGTGCTGCTGCTGCCGCCGCCTGGTTTTTAGTGTCATCAGGTATTAGACTTTTCTTAAACTCCTGAGTATCGACTTTGCTTTCTAAAGGTACCAGTCACCTTTGTAAGCTAGTGCTGCTTTGACGCTTGTAGATTTCTGAGGCTAAGTTCAGTTTTGGGAAGCAGAAGCAAGCACAGGTGTCTGCAGTGCAGAGGCAGGGCCAGCTTTGTCAAGTGCCGGGATTCTTGTTGGTGATCTTGGTTTTGACTCCTTCTCTTTGGCTCCTTAAAAACTAGGGAAAGTGCGCTGGCAAGTGCTGACTTAGAAGAGGAGCTTCACCAGGGGCAAGGGCAGAAAAGGAGACGGCCTCAGGGGAGAGAGGCAGGTGGAGGAGCGCCCGGTGTCGCCCTCAGCCTTGATGGGGGCCAGAGAACGAGAATCCCGCTCAACCCGGAAGAAGAGCGCTTAAAAAACGAGAGGACGGTGTTTGTTGGCAATTTGCCTGTCACGTGTAATAAGAAGGTGAGTGGGGGGCTAGAACAGACGTAGAGAAGCTCTTGACCATGCCGACTGTTAGTGAGCTCCTGGTCACTAACGCATTGTAGCTGAGTTGTGGGTTCTGGTTCTCTTTGGCAGGTCACAGGCTTAATCTGGCCTGTGTGTGTGGTGCTGGGGCTTAGCTCCCAGACCTAATTCAGGCTTCCAAACGTCATGTTTGATTTTTGTTTGTTTTGTTTGTTTTTTTGAGACAGGGTTTCACTGTGTAGACTTGGCTCTCCTGGAACTCAACTCTATAGATCAGACTGGCCTCAAACTTAGATGCCTGGCTGCCTCTGTCTCCCAAGTGCTGGGATTAAAGGCCTGTACCACCACTGCCCAGCCTGAAGCTCATGCTTAACGTGGCAGTGGGCTGTTCCTGTTTGTTTGTTTGTTTGTTTTTTCACTTGAGCATCTTTCCTGTTACTGCTCCTGGAATATAGACTATATTTCTCTCTCCTTCACTGCTGTTCCGTAGGCATGAGACGGTGCCCAGCACTTAGAAGGGCTCAGATAGTACTTGCTTTGTGGAAGAGCGAGCACTGAAATGCCTTCTGTTCTTCAGGGCTCACAGAGCCTACTGTCTGCCTTCCATGTGCGTGTGTTTGGTAGTCTGTGCAGTCCTCAGGCCCCAATCCTGCTCATCTCTGAAATGATGAGACCACATTCTCCTTTCCTAAAAACAAAGCAGCTAGAATCTAACACTGACTTTTATTCTGTCCCCTAGTTTTGATTTGTAAAGATACTGTGTACTATCCTTTTAAAAAATCTACTTCTTAGGTTTCTTTTATGTGCATGAATATTTTGCCTGCATGTATGTGTGTACTGCATGTGTGCCTGGTATCTGTGGAGTCAGAAGAAGGCATCAGGTCTCCTGGAAGCTGAGTAATGGATGATTATGAGCTACCATTTATGTGCTGAGTCCTCTGCAGTAGTAAAAAGTGCTCTTAGCTGCTGAGCCGTCTCTCCAGCCCTCCTTTTTGTTTTTGAGAAAGGATCTCACTATGTCTCTACTCTAACTCATTGCCATCCTCTGCATCCACAAGTGCTAGGGTGAGAGGCCGTGTGTGGGTTTCTATATGCATGCCCTGTTAGCCTTGGGAGCTCAGTCCGCCTGCCTCAGCCTCCTGCACACAGCTGGTGGGGATCGAGCGTCCTTTTAGATCGCAAGGGCTCAGAGGAGAGGGGGATGATATTATATTGCTCTGCAAAAATATTCCTACAGTAAATGGCTTTTGAATTAGAATTAGTTACAGAAAATATTGTTCTACCTGTAAAAACAGGTATTTTCTTCACATGTTGAAATAGTCCAAGAATCGTGTCTAGAAAATGTCTAACTAGGATTCTCATCACACTGGTGGTCTCAGTCGGACACTGGAGAATTTCCCTGTGGAACAGCATCCTTAAAGGCACTCACTGTGGTTCAAGCCAGTGTGAAAAAGATCAGAGAATGTGCGCAAGTTGCAAGTCTAACCTCAGTGTAAGTGTCTCATGGATCATGGACGTTGAAACCACAGCTAGCATGTACGTCATGCCGGGCGCTGTTGTGAGCCTGAGCCGTGCTTTCTTCCTCCCGCGTTTCTGTAGACTCTGTTCATCCAGCTGAGTAGCCACCTGCTTTTCTGTTGTTTGGTTTTTAGTCAGTCGATGTAACACTTCATCTTCTTGCCTCCACTTAGGGTTTGTGGTGCTGGGGTAACGATGTGGGCCGCTATCCCTGCTTCTTCCCGCTGACACAGACGTTCAGGACGTTAGCTAACATGCAGGTGTCTGTTGTTTATTTTAGAAGCTGAAGTCATTTTTTAAAGAGTATGGACAAGTAGAATCCGTGCGATTTCGTTCAGTGGTAAGTGTCCTCTCCCCTGAACACCTCATAATGTCGCTGTGCTTTCTCTGTAAACCAAACCTCCTGGCATCGGTGCCAGTGTCCATGGCTGTGCTGCACTGGGCAGGTAGCAGCTGCATGTGTTCTCACAGTTCGGTGACACCTGCTACCCCGGCTGGCTCTGGGGTGGAGTGGGCAGAGGACTGCTCCTTGCCAGGCCTCAGGCAGCACAGTGCCAAGTGCGGCTGAGTGGCTGCTGCAGGCAGAGCTTGGGCACGTGGAGAAGTGGTTGGTATCTCACCTCACTCTCAGCCGGTCATGCTGATGTTTTCAGAGGGTGAAGGCCCAGTAAAGTGTGTTTTACTGGTTTCTTTCCACTTGAGGCAGAATCTCACTGTGTAGCACCAGCTCTCCTGGATCTCACTAAATAGACCAGGTTGGTCTAGAACTCACAGAAATCCATCTCTGCTTCTGCCTTCTGAGTGCTGGGACTAAAGTGTGTGCCATTGCACCCAGCAGGATGCTTTTTAAAAAGTATTTTCAGTGTAACTAGCATGTACAGGTAGTGCTTTCCTTGTTTCTTCTTTCTTTTTTTCCCCGAGACAAGATTTCTCTGTGTAACCTTGGCTGTCCTGGAACTCACTCTGTAGACCAGGCTGGCCTCGAACTTACAGAGCCCCACCTGCCTCTGCCTCCCAAGTGCTGAGATTACAGGCGTATCCCAGCATGTCCAGCTTGCTTCCCTTATTTCTAATTGCTCTTGCATGAATCTGTAAGGACTCTGAGGGCTGAGAGCGTGGGTGAGCAGTGGAGGGCTTGCCTAGTGTTTGCGGTTTCCCAGTCTCCACACCAGGGTGTGAGCCGGGTGGCTCTGTTGTTACTGATGCTGCCTGTGTGTCCTGGGATGCCCTGCCACTTTCCTTGGTGACACACCAGCTCCTGCAGACTCTGCATCCAACAAAGGCTTCTGGAAGTTGCCAAGTGCCCATGTAAACACTGACTGCTGCTCTAAAAAGAGACATTTTCTGAGAGTGTTTCTGTCGGTGTGCTTTTTCTGTTCCCTGCTATTGCCTCCTAGTTCATCTGCCCTCCTGAGCCCCATTTCCAATATGAAGTTCTCACCTGACCACTAAGTGGGGTGTTTGGCCCACACCATAGTTGCAGGATGTGGCATTGCCTTTATTTAAGTCCTTGTGGCACCTGGCCTGTTACTATCTCTGCTTTCACAGGCGGGCTTTTCCTAATTGAGTAACTTCTTTGTTTTCTCCTTGGCTTGTGACTATTCATGGTTTCTTTTAAATTTGTGTTATTGAGAATCTCTTAAGATTTACTTTTGTGTGTATGGGCGGGAGTTTCCCTGTGATTATGTCACACTCATGCAGTGCTTCTGGAGGCCTGAAGGGGGCATCAGGTTCCCTGGAACTGACTGGGTTCTAGACCACTGTGGGAGACCGACCTGGGTCCTCTGGAAAAGCAGCCAGAGTTCATCACTGCGCAGCCACCTCTCCCGTCAATCTTGCTTCCTCTTGTTAAAAGAGCTGGCTGTGCCGGGTCCTCCCATTTATACTGCACCCCAGGGGATGCAGGTTGCAGGGGCCCGTGGCTCTTCAGCCTCATCTTTCAGCACAGCACTTATGCCCTGAGCTGAAGCTGCTTGTCTTGTTGGCCTGTGAGACCCTTCCCACAGCTGCTCCTTTGTCGCTTTCTTTTCACTGTGTTGCTAGTGTGGCGTGCCAGTGCTTCTGCTGGAGCGTGTTTCTCAGGATCAAGCTCATCCTCAGCCACATACAGAGTCCATGGCTAGCCTGGCTAAAACAAACACATAAGGCTGGCGAGGTGGCGCACACTTGTAATTCCAGCACTCACAGCGGCAGCTTTATCTCTGCGAGTTTGAGGCCATCCTGGGTCCAGGACAGCCAGGTTACACAGAGAAACCCTGTCTCGAAAAACTAAAAAAAAAAAAAAAAAAAAAAAAAAAAAAACAA